AGCCGGATAGTTAGGCCCAATAACAAAGACTGTCAGGGTTACGTGAGTAGTGGAAACCAACACATGGCCTCCTTCCTAGTCAACTGCTCCGAGATAATATGGGAGTTATGGACCCATTATTCTCGGTGGACAGGATGATAGTAGCTCCAGATAACTGTTAGCCACGTCTCTTTGGTGGACACGTGAGGAAACTCTCCAACGATTGCAGACTTTGGCCATACGTTATTGGGCTATGATGAAGGCACTGGATTGGGTCTGCATGACGGTGGGGCAAACGCAGGCCCAGTCTAAAACAGGAGCCCCCAAGTTATTTGTCTTAGGCGAAAGAGAAATGACTTAAGACTAGCTTAATTATCGGTGAGAGGTTTCCCAACAAAGGGACTGTTAACTTTTGCAGAGTCATTACCGACAACAAGGTCGAAAACTAATCAGAATAATCATCGTGTTTCGGTCGGGGACGATGTGGTAATCCAGGTCATCGATTTCCTTGTCCATTTTCTGTGATCGCGCATTCGTGCTCGATTACGAAGGTGTGCATGTAGATGCCCAACTTGATGCAGGTTTATTTGAGATTCGCATTCGCGGGGGAAACCAACACAAATTTTCTCACGGGCTTACATTCATAATATTCCCGTAAAAAAAGGGAGCCATAATGAGGTCGAGCACAAGTTCATCAAAGAAGACTTGAAGCGGGCGTCAGCACATGGTTTCATGTGTGGGATTTTTGAAGCCAAAATGGCACATTACTTCTGGTGCCACGTGGGGGCTATCCAAAACGCCACCATTGCCTAGGAAAGTTTATGGGTCTAAGCAATTATGTCCCCTTGCATGCTACCCCGTGTGGTGGGGAGAATCTATAAAAAGTAGGTGACAATATTTACTTAGACATTTTCGACTTTGCTCTCCCGTCGTCTCTTCTCCATTCGCTAGCTACTCCGCCATTGTCAGTGGATCCTCTTCTCCCTAAGGTGATCAACTCTCTCCCTATGAACAACCCGTAAAAAGGAGGCACGGGGAAAGTCCCGAGCACATGGTCCTTACAAATAAGGGAATGAATATCGGGGGAGACCTTTATGTTGCTGCCCTATTATCTCAACTGTGGTATTTTTAGCGGGGAAAATTCCTTAGGTCTTCATGAGGGGGAGAGGAAAGCCATTTTGTCCGCGGATAAGACCCGTCAGAAAAATCTGTATGAGTACATGGCCGTTGTAATTAGGTTTCTCGAGACTGCCCTGACCCTAAATGATGCGGCGACATGCTCTCATGCTACTCTTGACAAAGCGAAGTCCTGAATCGAAAATCTGGAGGGTCATAAAGAAAAGCTAAAGAACAATCTCCTCGTACATCTGAATAAGTATGAGATCCAAGTCGGGCTCGTCAAGGAGTTGGACGAGTTAAAGTTGAAGATGGATACCATGGCCAAGGAGAATGAAAGATTGTTTGCTCGGGTAAAAGAGATTGAAGGGGTTGTGGCACTTGCTGATGAGGAAACCGACAAGGAGAAGGTTTTACAGACTAGGGAAGGGCTGATTTCCTAGATTCATCAGCTTGAGCAGGATGTTCTGGACACCCTTGGGTACAACTTTAATATTGTTGTGGAGAAACTCAAGATTGTCAATACCAGGGTCAAGCTCATGACTAAAGGGACTAGGCCTTTTCACCAAGTGGTCAATGGAAGGATAATTTCTTCCCCCGGCAATAATCCCGAAGGGAAGTCGGATGGTGAGGAGGATATGTGTGAAGACTAGTTTAAGTTTTGGGCCTACATACCCGTATGTTTACTCGGCCTGCGTGCCAAATTTTTGTTTTAATGTTTGGACATGGGGCCCTGCCCAGTTTTTGTATAGCTGCTTTTTGTTAGGGCATGTGCGCCCTTCCTTTTGTAATATCTGAATGATTTTATCTTGCATGTTCATCCGTTAGATATTATTTGGTGTTGTGGTTTTCATGTTTGTTTTTATACAAGTGTGTGAATTTGTGCTCGACCTATTTTAGGGTCGACAACATATGGAGACGTGTCGGGGAGGCGGATTTGGGTTCTGCTTGAACAAGGCCAAGGTCGCGGTCGAGGACGTGACTTCGCAGCGTGAACTATCCTATCACGAGCTGGGCGTTCTTCTTGTTAGGTACTTTGGAAGCAGAGCTCGATCGAGGTGTCCCTATCGGGCTAAGGTTCTACTCGTTCAATAAGAGAGGACCCGCCTTTTAGTTGATGGACGCAATTTTTGTACCTTAACATGCTTTAGTGGTTGAGCAAGGCACGTCTTTGTCGGACGGGTCAGGTCGGCTACTAAGCCTCGGCTTTTTCTTGGGACTTAGCTGTAATATTGTTTTAGATTTTTAGTGTTCCAAGGTTGAGGTAATTGTTTCCCACTTAGGTGTTCGAGGTAGTAGGCCCTGTTTCCCGTTCTATCGTAGACACGATAGGGTCCTTCCCAATTGGTGGGCAACTTTCCTTCACGAGAATCTTTTTTATTTCTCTGTAGGACCAAGCTGCCGATCTGGAATTTGCGTTTTATGACTTTGGCATCATGTCATAGAGTTATCGCTTGTTTTAGTGTGGCCTCGCGAAGAGATTCCTCCAACTGAATCTCTTCGACCAGGTCTAGCTATTCTCTCAAGGCTTTGTTATTTAGCTCCTCGTCGAGAGGGAATTCAGTTTACCTAGATGGCTCCCTGATTTCTACGGGGATGACTGCCTCGGTACTGTATGTTAGTCAGAAACTTGTTTCCCCAGTAGTTATGTGGGGTGCTGTTCTGTAAGCCCAGAGTATATTGTGCAGCTCTTCGACCCACCCCTTCTTAGGCTCACCCACGCAGTGCTTAATTCCTTGCAAGATGACTCTGTTCGCGGATTCCACTTGCCCGTTTGTTTGCGGGTGCTCGACAGGCATGAAACGTTGCTTGGAGACGAAATCTTAGAAGTTCTTGTTGGTGAACTATGTCCCATTGTCGGTGAAAAGCGTTTGTGGCACGAAGAATCGAGCGAACATGTTTCTTTTGTAGAAACGAAGAATGTTGTGTGACCTGATTTTGGAGAGGGCTTTAGCTTCTATCCATTTAGTGAAGTAATCGACAGCGACGATCAGGAATTTGTTCTGGTATGATCCTTGGGGCAAGGGACCGAGGATAAACCATCTCCCACCAGGAGAACGACCATGGGGAGGACAATGTTTTAAGGTCGTGCAGAGGTGCTAGGTGCATATCTCCATGGCGCTGGCATTTGTCGCATTTTTTGACGTGCTCCTTAGCGTCATGTTACATTGTGGGCTAATAGTATCCTGCTCATAGAGCCTTTCACACCAAGGATCTTTCCCCCAAGTGTTGGACGTTGATCCCTTCGTGGATCTCTCACAAGATGTGGGTAACTTTGGTCTCATCGACACACTTCAAGAGCAGGATCATGAATCCTCGTCTATAGAGTTTAGGATTGTCCATAACGTACGCTGTTTTTTTATGTTGGCTTCTTTTTATCAGAAGGTAGTTCCCCCTTTGTGAGGTAATTGAGCACTGGGGTCATGCAACATGTACTGTTCTCAATGGCGTTCACCTCGAGAAACACATAGGGTTCTTTAATTCTCGGGCGAGAAAGGGATTCTTGGACAACATATTTGTTCCCACCTTTATTCTTTGTGCTTGTGAGTTTTTATAATACGTCGGCCCGAGTGTTCTGTTCGCGGGGAACATGTTTGATCTCCGTGTTAGCGAACCTCTTCATCCTTTATTTAACCAGGTTT